TTTCCTTTTTTTTTTTTTTTTTCACATATTAGCGTGGCTTAAATCTTTTTTTGGTATTCATCCCTGACAATAAGAGCATTCTTCTCTTGGTGTATGAAAATTTTAAGTTATTATTAGGGATATATTGTGCCTTGTTATTGCTGGCTGCAAAACCTCGTGTCGGAGTAGAGTTTTTGGGCCTGATAACGTTTGTAACCGAGTTTCCTCAGCTAAGCTTTCTTGAAACAGCGGAAGAGAGACTGGGCAAAGGTTTTCGATGATCATAGACCCCCCGATCGAATACTCTCTTCAGATCATCTCTTAGTGCCATAAGAAAATCAACCAATTTACATTCCTCACAAAGCTTCTGATAAGCATTAAGTGATGAAAGTTCCGGTGGATCCATCAACCCAATTTGATTCTAAAGCCCGGTCATGCAAGAATAAAATTCTTGAATAATTGCTCTTTTTTGCTTTAAGCTCTAATATCCGATCCAAATTAAGCCCGTCTCGTAACCATTTTGGCCAAAAATGAGATTTTGGTAACCATTTTGGCCAAAAATGAGAATGTATTTTATGAATGTTGGGCACACGAGCCAAAATTATTGTGAGATGAAAGTCAAACATGTCATGCCATTGAGGCCCACTAACGGCTTTTTTTTTTTTCCTAAAAATGAAGGCAAATGGGGAACAAACAGGCTGTAAAATCGTCGAGGAAAGTTTGATTGTTGACACAATTTCTCTAATAACCCAAGCATCCTTTGCTAACACAAATTTCATAAGTTGAGCCCCAATGAACTTATCTACAGACTACAGAATTATTAATCCATGTCAAAATCCTGGCATTGTTTGTAGTCCCCTCTTTAACTTTTTTTACATATTTCAATAATCAGTGTCTGTACATTTGGGAGTTCTTACTGTGCCATCAACAAAACCCACAATTCTTTTCCAGTTCAAATACTTTTTTCATAGCAAATCTCCCAATAAGAATAATTTGATTCATGTAGACGCACAGATAGAGTTAAACACAAACACATCATCATATGTGTACTACACGTCAAATTTCAGCCAGACAAAAAAATGCCGAACTTGAATAATTTTGATTCGAAGCAAATATTTGAATGATTCAGAATTATTATAGGAAAACCAAACCCGAACTTCTCCAGTAGCAATGAACAAGGATATTCCCAGCCAAGTTGAATAACGATCAATACCAAAGCAAAACAATACGCCCGGAAGTAAAGGATCTTGTAAAACAGTATCAAAATTGTTAACCAGCTCTTATACCATGTAAATATCCAGAACAAAATACACACAATTTTTTTTTATTTCTGGTGCATTACTGATATAGAGGCGCTGCCTCTGTTTTCTTATTTCATGACAGTAATCAACCTTTGTTTACTACAAAACACAAAGAGACTTTTATATCTTCACAAGTTTACAGAACATTTTCAGAGAGTAACATACTAAACACCATCTAGAAGTATTCCACCTACAATTTTGGACAATTCAACGTTGACTTGTCAAAAATTATAGGCCCACGTTAGCGATGGACAAGATAACACCCATCCACCATGGGTAGTAGATCATTTCTGATTCTTTGAAAATAAACTATATAAGATAATGAAACTGTAAAAATCAATCCTGCCACTAAACCGAGTACAATATCAGAGAGCATGCAGCACCACCTGAATACCATGTTCGGGACGAAGGGTTGTAGTTTGAACAGGAGAGTGAATATTGTTAGGCGAAAGGGTGAATGCATAACGTTGCAAAATCGTAGAAAGTGCAATCTTGGCCTCATTTATGGCAAAATTCATGCCCACACACGTTCGAGGTCCCATGCCAAATGGTAAAAATACTGCTAGATTATTGTTGGTAGCTCCAACTACCCCTTTTGTGAATCTTTCAGGTTTGAAGAGATGTGCATCTTCACCCCATATTTTGGGATCCAGGTGAAGTGCTAAGATTGGCACGTAGACTTTTACATTGGCCGGAATAATAAGGTTCCCTAATCTGGCCCCCTTCTTAGCTTTTCTTTCATTGAAAACTATAGGAGGATATAGTCTTAGAGACTCGTTAATGATCATGTTCATCTGTAACAAGACACGATATATATTTAAATAAAAGAAGATATAATTTAGAGGAAAGTTTTGTTTTGTTTCGAACTCAACAAGTATACCGTTCTTGGTCTTGGTAGGCCGTCCGAATTTGGATTTTGCTGACTGAATACTTTTAATACCTCGTCACGAGTTTTTTCTTGCCAGTCGGCATGAATTGCTAAAAGAAGAATAGTCCATGAAAGCAAAATCTGTGTTGTCCCTTGTCCAGCACTATAAAATGTCTTGCATTCATCAAAAATTTCATCCACTGAAATCTTGTTTTTTCCAGTAGCATCATGTCTAGCCTTCAAATGTAATCCAAGCAAATCTGAACCAAATATTTTTGCTTCTTCCAGTGCTACTTTCTCCCTTTTCTTAATAATAACTAGAACAAGTTCTCGAATTTCTTTTTCAATCTTCTCTGATTCTGTTTCATCACCATTTTTGTAAAGAGGACTGCAAAATAAGGTATCACTAAGCTGCTCAATGATGAAAATATGGAATTTGAAGTGCTTTGATTGTGTACCTTCCTTTCTCTTTGAACATACATTCACCAAAACAACAACAACAAATATGCATCTTTCCAAATAAATTTGGATTGGCCGCATTAATCTTTTTTCACCCATTCAATTTGTTTATAGAAATAATGGGAGATGAGGATATATGCATCATCTAAAGAGAAAATTTCGACGTATCAATGAAATTTACCTAATGCTGGGAAGACTTATAAGCATTTCTGCTAATTATAGTAACCAACTTTTTCATCATCTGAAAAATTTGTTCCCCATCTTTATAACTGCTTCCAAATGCAGTCCTTGAAATTACTTCTGCAGCCAACAGTTTAAAATCTTCACAAACTTCAATCTCTCTTTCTTCATAACTTCTCCACCGTTCCAGCATCATCTTGACACTTTCAACCATTGCCGGGGTCATATTCTATTAACGAGAATAAATTTTTTTATAAGTACGAATCCAAATTTCTTGATGAATGAAAGTGTTATATTTGTTAAAGAAATTGACAAACCACACTAAAATGAAGCATTTTTTGCATGTTACCATGTCCCACAATGTTTGGGTACAAACTTTATCACTGCATTGTGAGCCTTTATTTTAGCCATAATAAGTGGAGTAGAAACTTATGTCTAAAAATCCGACTTCGGCCATGTCTAGTTTAGAGGTGTAAACTGGGTTGTGTTGGGCACGTACGGTCTCCCCCACTTGACACGACCTAGTTTTTGGGCGTGCCGGGTTTATTGTGACTCAGCAAAAAAATAAAAAAAATAAATGCACTGAGCTCTTCTCTCTTGTGTCCCTTATCTTGCATTTGGTCAGTTTTGGGGCTCAAAACATTGGAGAAATGTGAACGAAAATACTAGTGCTTTCATGACAAAGACTCGGAATTGTAGTGGTTTCACATGAAGAGAGGGACTTGACTCTTGAGACAACAAAAATATGAATCAACAAAACAGCCCAGATTTGTTTTATTCTTTTGAATTAATCTATGTGTACATTCTTTGTGTACATCTAGGATGACATTTCAATAGGCGTCAAAATCAAGAACATTGATTATTTTAAGTTTTGAACAAATCAATAGTAGAATTGTGTGTCACGTGGTGGAATGTAAACCAAAATGTAAGGAGTAAAGCCATTTTACCCAAAAATGGTTGACACCTCGGGTGACCGACCCTCACATTGTGTGTGGATCCCACGTGAATAAAATAATGCCCAACCCCCGAGGTGTGTGTGTTTGGTCATCCCCTATGTTCGTGTAGCATGGTTCAAATGTAAGTGTAACAAAACTGCTCTTTAAGGCTCGCCCTGTAGGACCAGAGAGACCATGCTTTCTACTATCTGGCTTGATTGGGCTATCTGGCACATTTTGATACTTCTACTCTAGTCCCTTCTTTAGATTAGAAAAAGAAGAAAGATCAGATTTGACACTGATTCTTTCATCCGTGACATCGACAAGCAATCAGAAATAGAATTTATCTCTTTCTTTCTCTTAATCAATTAAATATGCCTCGTTCTCTGTTTTCTCCTTTCCCTTATTCTCTTTGAGAAAGGAAACATTTTGTCAGCCAGTTAACAAGAAGAATCATTATCTTCATATTTAAAAAATCTAAAGGTTACCTTCAAATTTTCTGCATGAAATGACGGATTCGCCACTTTTCGTAGTTTCACCCATTTTTCTCCTTCACATGCTACAATACCATCTCCTGTTATCTTTTTCATATATTTATCTGCATCTGTTCTTGAATAAGATTGACCGTTGCTCAGAAATTCCTTAACAAGTTCTGGTTCTGTAACAACTAATTCGGCTCTACACCCGTTCTAGAAAAGAAATATTTTTCCTATCCAAATGGATCGTAAACAAATATTATGGAAATAACAAGCAGCATCAAAGATAATCTTTTAAGTGAAAAATAATGAAAGTAATTTTATATATTAAGCTCTAATCCCAAGTTCTGAGAGAAATAATAATAAAAATAAAAAATAAAAATAACGAGCAAAGTACATACAAATTTATAGTGTTTCACCCTCCATCACTGCTACAGTATTGAAAAAATACAAATTTTAATTAATGCCTCTCTTGCACGCTTACAAAATGGCTTCCTAAAAATTATTTATATATGCGGGAATATTAAGGAAACATAATACATGTAAGGCATTACCCAATGCAATTCCGAAATAGATGCTACATATTTCAAAAGAAGACACTAATTTAGAAAAAACACAAGTGGTTCTTAAATTCTAAAATAGACGAGAGAGAAGACTAAATGAAGAATATCATCGAGAAGGATACACTGGGCTTATATGTATCATGTATGTACCATAAATATTAATCCATGAATAAATATGAGGCATAATTCTCGGCAATAAGTTGTGTGACAAGTCCATTGCGCAACGTGAGGAATTCTCCTTCTTCTTGGAAATTTCTTTTGTATTTCCAAAAATAAATTTGTAACCAGGGCCACTGATGCCTTGACGTCCCATTGCGCGTTGTATCTGCATTGGAGTCCACCATACTCTATGAATAAATTTGGTGAAAACTAACAGGAAATAGATAACCAGAGGACTAAAAACAAGAAATTTTATGATTTCTGTACTGAACATTGCAGGGAACAGATTTTCGATCCAAATTTGACACCTTGGGCATTTACTAAAGCAAAATGGATTTTATATGTTTGAAGGGACATATGAGGTAGGGAACAGGAATCACTGATTTTAATGTAAACAATTAGGTAATACAACTTTCAAGCAATTAGCTTAATTTGAAAAAGCTATAAAATATGGTGCCGGCTGCTGTAAGTTTATTGGAGGTTTGACATTGTGCATTTGCTAATGCCACTCATGAAATGTGCAATTATATATTCATTAGATAAATTTCCCCCCAGTCTACTGCTACATCAACTTGACTATAAGGTTCAACACAACGAGATCCTTAGCAACCACATGTAGTGGAAAGTTTTGTCGACCTCTTGTCCTCTAACTTGTTCTACAAATATTAATTGTTTATGAACAACTACAAACAAAGTCTTCTTCCCAATAAATTTAAGGTCGGCTACATGAATAGTTTTCTGTCACTCTGTTTAGTTCACTGTAGGTATACAAGTTCATAAAATGCTCTCATTTTCATATATCTGACTTTCAAAAGCAGGTTTTGAATGCACGCATTTTCCAAAGGGACTATTTAGATTACAGAAGTTGAAATGGTAATCAGACTGCTGAAAGTAATATAAATATATTTTATTGGAGTGGAAAAGACTGAAAATTTTGCTGCTATTCAACTTTTAGAACTCCCTAAAAGCTAAAGCTTGAGCCTGTGAATATTAGAAATAATGTATCTACAGTCATTTAATTGTAGATGTCACAATATTTTAAGCTCAATTAAAGATAGAATTATGTAACTCATTTAATTGTACATTTCATTTAATGTTCCTTGCGCAACCTACAATATGTAATATTCATGGTGCTAAATTGTATTATTTAGCCCTCGTTTGTTCCTCGTAATTTCCATAATACATTTTTAATTACATATTTTCCATCAAATCACTATTTCAAAATGTATTTTTGGCTGAAAACGGGGCTCAGAGTGTGGTATTGTTGATTTAAAAAACTACATCATGAGGTCATCTAACACCTGCTACACATTTAAAACCCCTTGAAATAATATAAGAATAAATGAAGATATTACTCCATAAATTATTTCTGAGACATGTTCATTGGTAGAGCCAGAAGGGATCAGTTAAATTTTTTTTGGCTGGAGAAGTATATAAAAATAAATTCCACATAAAAAAAATTGTTTTTTCAAATAAAATTTCGTTTTCTATATATATATTTTTTCATTTTGCTTGGAAGGGGGATGGGTTACAGCCAAGAGGAACGTCCCTTGATTCCCCCCTGGTCATGTTGGAATTAGCCCTCGACCAATGACCCAGAATTTATTGGAAATTCCATACATGTATTTGAACTTTAAAGTGTATTTCCCGGATGGATACAGTACCCATCAAATTTAAAATGGTAATCTTTACGAATTTTTCATGAATAAACTTAAAAAAAAAAAAATGCATTAACAAGTTCTCATTTAGGTCTATTTTGGCTTGTTTCTCTTATCTAACAAGAAAAGAACTTCCATATAAACTCTCTCTCCCTGCTTGAACTTTTTGTCTGTTGCTCATTAGATCGTGTTCTATCTGATCCCATTGAACTGTATGATTCAATCAGCAATGTGCCATATTTCGAGTACCTGATTAATATGATTATGAGAAAATCTTATTATTTCGTTCAGTTAATCCGTCATCTTCTTGATTTAAATGTTTGAACAGTTGGTACCTGCCATATTAAAATATTTGACACGTATTTGACATACACACACCACTGCGAACATGTGAGAAATATTTCATTCCCAACACTTGTATTATCATTATATCATATCGCCAGACTTTTCTTGAATGTAGATTTAACTACATGAAAACTCATTTGCTTCTTATTACATACAAAAAAAATAAGAAATCGTTGGATGGTTAAAGGAAAGTAGGTGAAAAAGAGTATAAAATTACTAACCAATATATAAGGGTTTAAGATAATCTTTTTGAGTGGATTGACCCTTCAAGATGAAAACGTCATGCCTTAGCTCCCGGATTCAGCTAGAAAAGTATATTAAAATTCACGTCAAATTCAATAATTAATTTTAATTGAATATTTTATCAACTTTTATCAAAAGATTTTTAAAACAGGGGCTTAATATGGTAGAACAGCTTAATAAGCTCAAATAATCAACATCTTTCATGACATGCTAACGATAAAAGTCTTGCACCGGTAAGTTAAAAAATTCTAACCAACGCGAAAGGTTTGCTGGGAATTAACACCAATCTCTTTATTTGTTCCTAGGATCCTTGTTCAAAATTTCATATAATTTATCTAAAAGCTATATAAATATAAAATAGATGGAGAAAATCTTAACACAACAATTTACATGAAAAACTCTGAAGTCAAAGAAAAATCACGAGTCCTCAAAAACAGAGATATTCCACTATATAAAAATTTGCAGAGTCGTACCATGTATTGTAAAAGAATAATATCCTAAACTTTACCATATTCACCAATTTATACTATTTGAACAACCTTACTATTTGAACAACCCACAAAGAAAAGAAGAAAAATCATGATACTAGGCCTACATTTTTTTCCTCAAAAAACCCTCAAACTCACCCAAGAACAATACGTACCGAAT